GATCGTGCAGTGTACCCACGCCCCAAAGCGATCGTCTCCCCAGGGGGGCGAATTCTTGGAGTGGGGGTTGACCGAGCTGGCGGGAGAGAACTGTAATCATACGTGGCGGTAGTGCGAGGCGGAGCTGACCTCGAAGTGCCGCTGTTGCGAGAGCCGGTGGAGATACCGGTTGTCGGTGACGGTGAGGGTATTGACGGAGCAGAGGCGTGATTGGCGTGTGCTGCGCGAAGTGCAGGTGTGCCTGTGGCAGACGGTTGCAGTTCTCCCTGTTTAGTGTTGGCAGTACTAGGCTGTGCATTACTAGCAGTGCGAGGATGGCGAGAGCCGATTGTAGTATCGGTTGTCGGCATGCGTTGTTTTATTGACGTGTCCGAAGTTGAATTGTCGTGTGCTGCGCGAAGTGCATGTGTGCCGGAGGCAGACGTGTGCAGTTCTCCCTGTGATGCTGTCGGCGGCACGGGGACGGAGGGCGTACCGCCGTTGCGGAGTCATCCGCGTTCGTTTCTGTTGCCGGTGGCGTTGGAAGACTGGTTGCCGTGAAGACGTGCGTCTTCAGAATTGACGGTATTGACGGATTGTGCTGAGGCAGCAGATTGGGCCGGTTGATAAACGGCGAGAGAGCCCTGTTGTTGGCCGTGATAGGCATTGGCGTTGTTGTTGCCGCTGGAGTGGTTGTGGTTTCCATTGCCGTAGTTGTTGTTGTTACCATTGCCGTAGTTGTTGTAGCTGTTGTAGCCGCGATTGTTGTTGCGCCGGTTGTTGGTGCGACGGTTCGAGTTTTGGCGGTTGGACTGTCAGTTTGGGCCACGGTTCGTCCTGTGGCATCGTAGCGCTGAAGCCAGGTTTGGAAGGTGTCGTCCTTGTCGTTGAGATGGCGTAGATCTTCGTTGAGAATGCCACAACGGTTAGTGAAAGGCTGATCACAATAGCGCATGGAGTGTGCCGTTGACTGGCAGTTGAGGCAAAGCCCTTGATTGTCGCGGAAGGCTTGTTCGCGGTCGTGTCGTGATACTATTATAGTGGCGTCCAAAGTGATGGCAGTTTTCTAGATGTGAAATTCTCAGAAACCTGGAAGACCGTGTACCAGTGGTCATCGCTAGCTAAAGGCCACGCATTGTAGCGTTGATCAAAAACATCCGAGTGCGAGTTGGATCGAACGTTCATCACTATTGGGTTGCGTGATGAGCCTGAGGCATACGATTGTTGTGACGAGGAGGAGCGGTTGCTCGACCTGTGACCTTGTGATAGAGTAGAAAGTGAATGATTCCCAAAAGCAGCAGACACAGCACCATGGACTGGGCCGTTTACAGCTGCAGCCTTGTTTGACGAAAAATTGTCGAATGCCACCCACATGTCATCCAGTGCCGCATATGGCGAAACAGCATTCGCTAAGGTACCCGGAAAGCAGCTAGTCATCATCCTCGGAAATTGATCGTTGATCTTATTCCGCGTAGCTTCAATTACCCAGCGTGCATCTGATGGTTCCAACAAACTGGAGTAGTTGGTGACGTTGGATACAGCTACTCGGTACTGCTGCATGAACTTGGCAAACGTCGTGCCGGTGGGCACCTTGTAGTCATTCAGCTGCGAGAATGTGGCGCCGCGGTCTTGTTCGCCGAATTGCCCTGCCATGAGCCGTAGCAGGAGCTTGAAGGCTTCGCCTCCGCTCATGCCTTGCTTGAGCTGAGTCTCTACCTGTGCAAAGAATCCGTTGATGACCGAGTAGAGATCAGCGGATCGGGGGGAAGTTGACGAAATGACGTTGGCGAGTGCCCTCTGGATGGGGCGTTGCCATCCCGGTACCCAAGTGTCGGAATTGTCGAAGTTGACGAGGGGGTCAGCCTGTAGCAGGATGTCGTGCATTGCTCTTTTGGTGGACTCCAAGAGTTGGCCTAACGCGTTGGTGCCAGCATGGCCTGCAGCTAACGGAAGCTGCGGACTAATATTTTCGACGTGTTTGAGGTCGATGTGGAGTACTTAGCTGCGATTGATTGGATTCGCGCTTGCTCTACGTTGGCGGTTCGGTTGTCGATGGCGTGTCGTGGTTGTACAGCTGTTGACGAGGCGATGGGCAATGGCGAGACTACTGCCGCGTCGTGACAGTTGTTGCGGTTACGGGGATTGGCGTCGATGAAAGACCACACTTGTGAGTGAGTAGTTGGCGTTTGAGGTAAAGTGTCGTTTGGCAGCCATACCTATAACGGTTGATCCGAATGGTGTCCGTTGTGTCGCCTCATTTGTGTTCGTGAAGGCTCGCAAGTTACATCCTGAGGATCCTGTGGATGTCGAACAGGTCATATATACCTGTCTAGCAGAACATGCACCATGCTGCTACGATTGACTGTGCTGTTGTCGGCTAGACTGGTCCCAAAATGGCGGTCCGGAGTCGACACATGTAGTTGTAGGCTATACGTGCGATCGAAGTTTGTCTCGAAGTGGTGGCGGGAGCTGGGAGGCAACGTGTTGCGGGAGGATGGTTGACAGCGAAGCTAGCTGGCATGACTCCTTATTGTTGGAGACGGTCTCAGCAGCAGCTTGTTGCCATGGCATGTGCGCGTTCGCCAGCAAGGAATGCCCCGTGCATGGAATGTCAGAAGCAGTCGGCCGTACTGCTGTAGCGGTAGCAGTTTTGTTGGAAAGTGTAGTGCTGTCGGATGATTGCTGTGCCACGCTCTGCAGGGGGGTGGTAAACAACGTGAACGAGTTTTCATGTTCCCAAAAAACGAGGCGGGCGTCGGCATGCGGGGTTGTGGAGTGCATGAGTGCCTCATTAATTGCAGAGAGCACAGCGCCATTATTGTCGGAAGCAGCAGGCAGTGACGCAGACGGCGTAGTGGGCCCAGAAAGTGGCGAGTTGGCGGTGAGGCAAGCGGAAGATTCGGCAACCGATGGAATAATGTCGAGTAATCTCCGGAGATGTGCGATAGGTACGCTGAGATATGCCAAAATTGTCGATGCTAATTGTCGATTGCATGGCGATAGCTGTGTCGGGCGGCGCGTGGATTTCGCTGGAATGATCCTCATCAATGGCGTCAAGCGTGCGCTGAAAAAGCGTAGTGTCGTGTTCAGGTGTGGCGCTTGTGGCGATAGACTCGTTTTTCGACAAAAAAAGCAGAAGTTAGGGCGATGGCAGCATTTTGTTCTTCTGCGGTGTCACTTTCGGTCACGTTGTGTGAAATGCCGATCGAAGGCCCTTCGGCAAGAGAAGGCATATCCGAACGTTGCAGAGAGTGTGCGCTTGTGTGGCGAGAATGGTGTCGCGTGAAGCAGCATTGTCGGACAGTGGAGCATCATTGGCGGCCAGTGTACTACTAGTGTCGAAGGGTGTTTGGTGTGTATCACGAGGCACGGAGGTGCTGGGTGAAACAGGAGATGCAATTGCATGTTCGACCAAAGACCCTAAATAAAAATGAGGCTGCTTGCTGCAGCAAGGTGTACTTGAGTGGCGTCCGTGGAGGTAGCGGAATGTGCCGAAACCGGGGAGCTGGTGCCACTAGAAGCAGAGCTACGTGGAGCACTATTGGTGCCGCGTGGGCTGGCTGCGGATGAGTCGGCGCCGCCGCCTGTGAATGCTGCCATGGTGGCGAGCTCAAGCTTACGAAAGAGAGCATTATGTCTACCCAAGGAATCCCACAGCAGACCAAAAATCCCAGTGCACCCGAAAAGAAAACTAAAAAGTTGAAGCGACTCACGTTCGAATCCAGGACGAGGCCAAGTGTGACGAGACGTGACGATCTCTGACGTGGGTTCAGTGTGGAGCTAGTCCGACCACTGTGTGCAGGTTGGAGCCGCTTCGCTTCTTCAGTCTGTTTCCTTCCTTATCCTTCATTTCTCTCGCAGTCGCTCGCTATCGCTCACTCCCGGGCAACACCAGGGAACACCAGGCAAGACACTGAGCAAGGTGGAACGCTTGCACTCGCTTGCTACTGCTAGTAACCATTGTACTGCTATCTGCCCAAAGTCGGAATACTAGGAATCTGGGAAGGTGGTCGGGATATTCGTGAAAGATATACCCGCCCAGATGGTATCTTAGTCCAAGGGTCCAAATCCATAACATCAAGATAGCATTGTTATGTGTAGTGTAGGATCAACCGCTCGCTGCGGGCGGTGTCTACAAACAAACCATGCATGCTCACATATTTTTTTTCTAAGATATACCACATCGACACTCGAATAATTTTTTTCAAGAAAAAACATGCGTTGTATTGTACTCAACTCTAATACACTAATTCTCTATTCAACCATCTTCTTTCATGTCATGATTGTTTATTTCATATCATGATTGATTGGTGATTGGTGGCGTTCTCACGTTGGCATCCCGGGGTTTTCTCCGCCCGTTACACACATGGTCTTCCGAAAGAAAAAGTGGAAACAAACACAGGGTGATGGTGGTGGTGGTGGGTATTGCGCCGCTGCGCTTGAACCAAGTCACGAATGAATGAAGCATCGGCAATTAAGCTGTCCGAAGAGAGGGGGAACTGCTGTCTTATACTATCACTTGCAGGCGGTACGTGCGGTGGTACATGATGACTCATCGCGCCGCACGCTCGCACGAAATAACTACCACTCCTCCTTCCGACGTCGTTCCTCGAAAAAAACACACGTGACCGGCAACAACACGGACGTTTTCCCCTGTGTCCGGTATGTTCGGTGGGGAGTAGACGACGTCAAACCCCTCTATCCTGCTTCCGAGGGACCCCCCCCCCTACCCCCAGCACTTGGTAATGTGCGAGGCTGGTCCGGTGCGAACCCGGCGCGCTCCGTTCAGCCTTTGTAAGGGATGAGAAGTCAATGGTCTAACGACCACGGCATGCACGGCTACTACTGTACGAGTACACCGCCCCCCCAAAAATCACCCCCCACTACTCATCCTCCTTTACTACATAAAAATATTTCCCACGGATAGACGCGCCCACAGGGAACGTCCAACTCCCAAACGCTTGCCAAAAGCCATCATGAAATGATGACGGGATGTCAAAAGCCAAACAACGGGATTGGGGCAGGGGAGTCTCTTTGCCGAATTCCTTGGACGAATTTCTATGACCAAATATGACGAGGTACAGCACAAGAAAGACAATGCGTAGACTACACTGACTGACTGTTAGCGAGAGCTGTCACCGGAACGGAACTGCGTTAGAGGCGTCCTGAAGTAGTGGGTCTCCTGGCAAACCTACAAAGGAACCGGTTGTGAGATCGATCACTCTTCTAGGGAGCGAACAATTTGCAACAACTCTGTGGTACGCAACGTGAGTTCCCTAGCACAATAAGAGGGAAGGAGCTGCCAAGATAGACGGACCCTTCCCGCGTTAAACATCGAAGGTATGCACCGCAGGGGGGAAGAAGGTCGGACAATCGGAAAAAAAATCCTAAAAACAAAACTTCTTGTGCTACATGCCACCAGAGTTTGAGCAGAACGCCAAACACACACCGAATGGTGCAAACACAACCGCGCGCGCACACATCTGCGCGGTCGATGCCAACAATAAAAACACATGCACACGCACATTTTGCGCAGTCCATTCATGCAATCAATAAAAACACGCACATCTTGACACACCCACCCACCCGACACGCATACAGAGTCGTATATTTTACACATAAAGTTGCTAAAAAACGTTTACTACCTTGACACCATGAGGTTCAAAGCGTGGGTTGCCATCGGCAAACACCAGCACGTATGCCCGCTCCAACATAACAGTTTTAACGCTAGGGGGAAGGAATGAACATGAAAATATTAGCACAGGCAGACCCAGGTGAAAAAAAGAGTCGCACCGTCAAGGTTCGATACCTTCATCGTGCACGAAGGCTGTAAAATACTACCATTATTCAACCAATCAGCATCGTCTCCAGGTTCGCAGGACCGTTTCGAGGACCGTTCTGTCTCCCACCTGATCAACGCTGTTGACCGAAACGTCCGCAAAATGGGTCTCTACACGAAAATGCTCACCTAAGGATTAACCGATGGCAAAGAAAACACATACACAGCGGCACTGACGCATTTTCATTGGTCAACCGGTTTACGCGGTCGATGTCAACAAATAAAACACGCAGCAGCAGCAGCAGCAGTAGCAGCAGCAGCAACGGCGCGCTAGCCGATAGCGCCATGCAACCAACGGCTGTGCACCCCGTGCCTTCCACGCTGAGGACCAAGCACGCCATGCCCACATCGTACTCGGAAAGACTCCGGACATTACAAAAAAAAAAAAACATTGGTGCGCATACGTCACGCTGGGGGGTAAAGTCCTCCCTCGGACGATATATATATACGATGCGACTTCGAAATGCCAAATATTCTACTCTCTCGCCGATTGCCAGGCGATGCATTGAGCATGCGTTCCCGACGCACCATTTCTGGTCAGCCGCGGCGATAAAACACGACACCCCCTTGCTCCACCTCTATCTCACAAGTGTCACAAACCAAGGTCCACCTGCGGCAAGCAACACCCAAGACTTCCCTCGCTGTGAACGGGGGGCCCAATTCATTCGCCCGGCGTTGAGAACGGCCCAACACCCTGCCTGGATACTCCGCACGCACGGCCGTATGCGCTTCCACCTCGGCCCGCCACGACGAAAAATCCACGACCGTGCACTCTTCCGAAATGGCTCAACACGATTCGACTCAACACACCTCGGCCTCAAGCGTACCCCTTCCCGAACCGACGCACATGGTCACCCGAGTAGTTTATAGGACCGCCTTCGCAAAAAATAAGGTTCATGAGGGAATGGAACAGGGAGGGGGGGTACGCAGACCCAAACCCTAACCCAACCCCAACTTCCCCCAATTGCATACGTTACTATTCAACATGTTTACAAGAACGAAAACACTCTGCGAAAGGCTACTGACTTCACACCGCATGTCGAGAACGAAAAAACAAACAAAACAAAAAAATCTGACCCCGCCGCCCGGGCGGGCCTGCCCTCTCATTCGCTGAGGAAAGGCACGAGGGCTCTCGTCAACACCTCCGGCGTCTCGGCCCACTGAGCCGTGGTGATCCAGTCGCCTCCATCGGTGCCGGCGTCGTTGCTGCCGGCTCCCTCCTCCAGCAACATCTCGGCGCCAACCGTTACTGCCGAGGGATCGCCGCGCGACGTCCGGTTCCTGCAACATGTGAACGCGGGGGGGGGTGGGGGGGGGGGGGGGGAGGAAGAT